TATTTTTTATTTAATATAATTTTCTGTATCGTGACATAAGAAAGTAAAAATAAAGTTGCAAAAATGTAACTTTTTTACGATAGAATAAATATTTATATATATATAGAAAACATATTTATGCAATACGATTTTCCTCTGCAAATGAAAGAAAACTTTTCGGGTTACAATAGGTACAAATTTAGCAATCTATCTCAATTATTAATTCTATTAATATAATAATTTATTATATTATATATATTATTTATATTATATATATTGATATAATTTAATAATTTATTAATTATTTTATAATATTATTTATTGTCTATTAATACATATTATTTATTAATATATTTTTTATATATTATATTTATATACATATTTGCAAAACTACTTTATATACTTTTTTGAAGGATCTCACAATCACCACAAGCTATATCTTATTAATTTTTGGGAATTTGCTAAAGTCGCGACAGCCGATAATGTAACGATGGCGGAGATGAAACGATCCGCGCGAGATCTCGGGAGTTTTCTCATCGCGTGCAAAAAGCGTACCTTACGGACATCCGGTATTTTGCGGTGTAATTCGCGCACGTACCCAGCGGCGCACGGCCCCATGTGTGTACATGGATGAACGCGCACGACGGAGCCAGTGAACTGAGCATTAAAGTGCCCTGCAAAAAACGCCGGCTTGGTGCATTGACCGCGGTTGAACACTACTATTCCAGGCAGAACAGATTGGTCCATAGACACGTCGATTCGGCGTCTATAGACATCGATTCTATGTCGATTTAGATAAATAATTAATATTTATTTTTAAAACTAGTACTCAATTAAAAAATAAAAACAATGCAGTCCTTTATTTAAGACTAGTACCAAGTACTTTAAATTTCCAACTTTGCGCAACTTTAATAACCCTTTCTGCCGGTGCTTTGTCCTCCACTTAGGTTTCTGACATTACGTATAGTTGATACGTTGTTCGGGACATTAGACATTAACATTCTACAAAGTTTCAGCCTTGTACTAATACTTCTAATAAGCTATGAAAATTTAAATGTTTGTCCGACCCGTTTACTTTTTCGTCTTCGCAGGTGCGGCGCGACAGAAGTGCGCTTTCACGAGCGTTTTCGTTAATGGCGATACTAATCAAACATTTTAGGTAGGAACTGGCCTTGTACCGAATAATTTTGAAATCCGTGTAGCCAGTTCTTGGACTATTATAGGATCAGAAGCGAAATCTGGCAAAGGCATATGACGGAGTAAAAGACACTTACATGCAAAAGTTGGTCGTAGTATAAGCGATGATATTCGTTGCAGTGTCGTCTCAGCACTCTCAGCTTATTCTTCTGTACGTCTAGCACATTTTGATACTACATCCGGCACGCGAGACAGTTGTCTAAAAGATTGACCATACTGGTACAGAAACATTCCCGACTCGGTCAATTTTCGCGCAATCAGCGCGCACCCATTGTGTATCCAAAATTAATCAACAACTGGTCAAAATCAATAACTGGTGCCAAGTCCCATACAAGTTATGTTATACATAATTATGTATATTTAACTCAAGTAGTAGCTTTCATAATAATGTATCTTAAAATTAATTAAAAAATAATATTACTATAGCAGTATAAAAAAATTTTATTTAAATAAAAAAAATTTTTATGTTAAAAAACTTGGCATTGTTAGACAGAATAAAAAAATAAAATTTAATCCAAATGTTACATTAAATAAAAATAAAGTTTAATTATTATAAGATTTGTAAAACATTGTTTAATTAAGATTTACAATAGTACTTACTTTGTTAAATTTTCCTTATTATTCCGTCTAGCAATGCCAAATCTTTTAACAAATTTTTTATACTGTTAAAGTGAAATTATTTTTTAATTAAAATTTTTTATGATATTATGAAAGCTACAATTTGGGTTAAATCCACATAATTACGTATAACTATGCCTTGGGTCACTTATTACGGATTCGCGACAATGCCTTGGGGCTGTGGCCCTGAGTCGCGAATGGCTCGACAACGCACTCTTACGCGCTCGATCTGTCGCTTAGACTCGCAAGATTTGACTTTGGCGTTCGGTTGGCGTTCGGTAACGCTTGTTGCTAATGAGTGCAGGAAAATCGCCCCTTTTTCTACTGAGCTAACCTTCCCACCCACCGTTCGAGGTTCATCCTTATCGGCGCGGTCAGTTACGCATCGCGACGCGCGCAACGACGTCGAATTCATCATTCGGAGAAATCTAGAAACACGAGGAATATAATACTGTTCATATAAAATTTTTTAACGGGCCAACTATTAAACATATTTAAACTTTTGATTAATAAACATCTACTTATTTTTCCAAGAATATTGTTATCTTTGTCTTAAAATATATTGAAATGTAATTTAGGGATACTTCTCCACATAAACGATGCATACTTCAATTTTTTTCGTGAAATATTGTATTTTTATCGATACAGTCCTTATCTCTTACCTTTGTAGTCATTTTACGTTTTCACGAAGATTTTATTTTAATGAATTTTAAGTGTATATAATTTTACATCAAATCATCAATCGTTAAGTTTCAATTTTTTTTAATAATATGGCATAAAAACCATGAAGTATTACTTCTTAATTGTTCTTAATGTCTTCCTCAAAATATCGGATAATCAGAAATATGTAATACTCCAAGCATTTCATCGAAATTACAACATTGAAAATAAAAATCAATTTAAAATTGTCGCTCGTTAACGAGCGGCAATCGTTAATGTTTGCGATCTTTGATGACAAAATTCAACTTTGATGGCTTCAAATAACTGCTGCTTTAAAATCGTCTCGTCTTGATAAAATTTTAAGATGTTGCGCTAAATTTAATTCCATGCAATTCCAATGTCCATTTCAGGAAGACACGAGATTTATACAGATAGTATAGTATATCCAGCTTGCGTTTTGATACTGGGACGAATATAATCCCGTAACGTTTCCTAAAACAATTTTCATGTTTTGCCGCGTATATCAGTGTCACGCGCGAATGCAGAATCGCGCGCGGATCGGTGGCATAAGGGTGATCAGGGACAAAATTAACAGAGTACTTTTGTCCCTGGTCTCTCCTATCCGATCGAGTCGTGCAACTTTTGCCACGGGCCCTCAAATGAATTCGCCTTCCGATTTGTCAGAGGTTCATTCGTTCCTAGGTATTAATGACACATGATATTTTCAGAGCGTTATTTTCTCTCTCTTTATACATATATATATCTATATTATATATATACAGGGTGTCCCAGAAAGATCGTATGTCCTTTCACTGGCAGATTTTAAAGAGCATTCTAAGTCGAAAACTCTTATACAAAAATGTCGAGGCTATAATACTTTTCCCATCATAAACGATTAAAGTTATCCTATTACGGCGTCTGAAATTCGCGCGCTCAGGCATGGTACATTGCACGTGCGATTGCGAAAATATGCATCGATTTTACTCAATTAAAATAAATTATACATATAACGAATACTGTGATATGTTATTTATTAATTACTTATGGCAAATCTGTTGTAAAGAAAGATCGGTTGGTCGTGATTATCATTAATACCAATTAATACCATTTCTCTTATCTTACTTTTATTTATTGATATTTTGTAATATTATACTGATATTAAAAGTAATCATAAATAAACGAGACATAGTTTAAAAGCGATTTCTTTGTCATTGTATGAAAAATTGAGACGCCTACAGCAAAAGTAACCTAACTGTCGAAATTCGATTTTTAAACTTAAAGCGTTATTAACTTATAAAATCATTAATGTTTTCAAATAAAAAATTAAATTTCGATAATTAGATATTTTTGCGATAAGCGCATCAATAATGTCAATATTTAAATGTGAGTCAATAAATCTGCTCCGCTTCAATAACCGACGGCTAATTGAAATCGCGAATTAACTCGCTCTTGAATTAACTTCCTCGTTAGATCTCCCACAATTAATCGCGATTATGTCGCGCGCCGCGCAACAATCCCATATATTTGCATTTGTATACCGCGCCATAAGTGTTTCTACAACGCCCGTATATTACATGAGTTCTGCATAAAAACGTCATGCGGCAACGCCGCGAAGAATGTCTTTACATTCGGCGTCATCCCCTATTTCGGAAGTTTCGACGGTGAAAGTTAGAATCCCCGGCGCGGCGGCGCGTCCAAACAAAATATCCTTTGTTGTAAGAGAAAAAATAAAATCCGTGTGCGCGCGAGAGGTAGAAAAAAATCCTTGAAAATTCACCACCGTCTCGCTCGATAAAGGACTCTTCGAATTATCTGGCCGAAGCAAGTCTAAATATTTGGACAGGACTTCTCCCAGGCCATGCTCGTAAAAATATTATTCCGTTTTGGACGTGCGTGTACCACTTTTTGCGATCATCCTTCGATAAAACGTGCAAAGCTTCGTTGTGGTATTATCCTGATTTGCGGTGCGTGTTAATCGAAATTTTGATGTTGACGATAACGCGCGTCCGTTGCGCTGCGCAGCGTCTCTTTATATTTCTTCGAAATCTTTGATAAGGTTGCTAACAAACTTTCGAGAATATTAACTTATTTTAAAATAAAATCTAGAAAGGATACACGATATTTAAAATGTAACGTGCAAATAAGAGCGTATAGTTAGTGAGGCGCAAAGTTATCTTTTTATGATAATAGTGGCAACTAAATTACAAAATTTACAAAATTTACAAACGTTTCAATTCATCTTCGAGTCACCATCAGTATCTTTAAAAAATTAAAATATTTCACGATCTCAAAGCGGGAATCAATGAAAATCTGCATAAAATCGAGTGTTTTATTCATCTTGGTTACAAAGCCATGTGGTGAATACAGTGAATACAGCCCACGAAGAGTCGCAAAGTATCAAAAAACGAAACGTGAAATCATTGCCGTGGTCGAATTACAATAATTGTTAATAAAAACAAATTACACTATTAAAATAAAGTTGAACTTCAGAAAATAATGTTGCCAAATTTCTTTGACACGTGAATGTCGGGGATATCGATCGTCAAACTTTAAAGCATTAACATATTTATACTACCGAGAATATTGGCATATTTTTTAGCGGACGCTATAGATAATTATAGTAACGGTAGTTTGGTATACAATTTAAATAATATCACGGCACAATATATTCGCTCGATTTTTTAAATCTGCTGTTAAAAAATATTGTAGATCTATTACTTTATGTTCGTCATATACCTATTCTCTGCCGGCAAATCTTATTAACGCTTTTGCCGAAATTCTGCAACATTATTGATTCTTGCAATCTATCGCAGCTCGCCTTTCTGCTAACAAAGCTTGTAACAAATGCATCGCATAGTCTCGCCCTCGTGATTATCTGAAAATATAACGATACGCGATGTCATCTTTATAAGAATAAGATGCCGTTTTAATAGAATAGCACTTCAATATATATGTTATTGTCAATTTTCGAAATAATTGCGTTTAAAATACGAACGTGCGGATTATATTCGTGATATAAATATCGTCATTATCGGTATTATTTATTAAATTTAATGGGACATCAATGTAGTATTTTATTGTGCGCCTTTTAAGTTTATTATATTTCACAAATTAATTTCACAAATTATAAGATTTTACAAAATGTAATTCGATATATTACGCGTTACTTCTGTATTACTTCTGTATTACTGTCGCGTCTTTCTTCGAAGATTTTATATTTAAACAAAGTCAGTAAATGCTCTGTTCAAAAAATAAACGTTTTTAAAAAATATAAAAACTGATTTTATCTGTCTTATATTATAAGACCAGTTAAATGTTAAATGCAAATTATATGTCTTTTTTCATAAACAGGTGTTTAATAAATAGATGTTTCATAAATATGTATTACGTTACGTATGTACCTTAGAACATATATTAATAATATATATATGTAATACATGTAACAGTAATATATGTTCTAAGTATGTATATAAATTATACATTATACATTATATCTATACATATCAATAAAATAAGTTGTGTACAATTCAATTAAGGTGCATCATTTTCTATTACATATTGCTCAATATTCTAAAACTGTAATGTCCGTTTTCAGATATTATTTGGTAATTTCTTCCCTATCAAACCTACGCTAATAATTATTCCAATCTATTCTTGTTTATCCGTAGTAAAAACTTTCTTGTAATGTAATGTTAAAAAGAAGAAAGATTATAATTTTTTATGTTAAATATATATTCTCTTCAATAATAAAATTTTAAAATACATTTAACAATATTTTACATGAACTGCTGTTATTGTGTGTAGAATCTTTATGATCGCAAGAAGCAGGATGAAAAGCGAAATCTCGGTAAAAGTGTACGACAGAGACACATATTTGGAGATATTGCTCAGTAACATGTAATAATAATATGATAATATTTGTTGTAATATCGTCTCAGTTATCATCTTATATTTCTACACGACTTGCATATTCTACAGGTACACCAGGCAAGGTCGAGTTGTCTTCATGTAGAAAAGACGAAAAGCGCAATCTCGTTAATTTATGCGCAATCTTAGCGTTCTTACCATTGTTTTGTGCGTGACGATAGGATTGACAATTTCGTACATTTTTCTTTCTCTTTTATTTTTCACCTCATACCCTAACAAATCTCCGACAATAGTGTACAGCGGCGCGTAAAAACTGATAAAACTGTTAAAATGTAAACTCGTAATCATAGGTATATAGTATTCATCTGTAAGTTTATTCGTACTTTTATCTGTACAGACTGCATCGTTCTGCTTCTGATCTAATTGCATTCGCAGACATTTGTCTATCTTTAATATATAATTATATATAATTATATATAATTAAATGCAAAATATGTCCATACATATTTATTATCATTTATTTTTAAGAAAAATATTTAATGTAAACTTGTTTAATATATTAAATTCTTTGACTTAATAAACTTTAAGTTAATAAAATATATGTGCAATTTAAAAAATCCGACTTTAATCTAGTGATCTACTACTAAAATGACGTTTCAATAGAATCTATTAAATATTTTTAATTAAAATTAAGCTGAGGAAAGTCACTAAGGTTTTCAATAAAGTATATCTAAATAAGGTAAATTTAATAAATCTCAAATATTGCTTTTCAAATTTTATTCCATTTTAATATGTTTTTATAAGACTTTAAATTACATGTTTACTTATCTAATATCCTTAAAGTAAATTTATTCTGGTGATTTGCATATTCTTTTATGCTAACCAGAGAAAGGAAAAAAAGATTCTTCGATTATATACAAATTAACAAATTTGCAGTCTTCGACAATAGTAATGTTTTTAACAATTGCACTATACACGAGGGCTCTAAGAGGGCCCAAATATAAATGTAATAAAAAATACAAGATCATCTCGCGCTTATCTCGCTTCAATAAATTTAATTCGACGAATATTGGCACAATCTTAGTCCTTGTTAAAATAAAGATATAATGACAAACTGATCAAATAATAAGAATTGACAATCTCCCCTGATAGAAATCTACTATCGCTATGTGTTATAGAAGCAAGAAATTTTCCCGAAACTAACGTCCGGCAGATTTGTCAGCGTTTAATAGTGGCAATTATTAACGCATCCGTCGCGAATTAAATATTTCTGAATTTTAGATTATACATATACATATATACTCGATATATTTCGCTGCTGCTATAAAATATCACCTAGAGACACACGCTTCATAGTCGTATATTATAACAAAGTATTATCGCGCAACATCGAACGATATTCATTATGGAAAATTCGACAGTCTCTTGTTTTTTCGCATCGTTCTTTCTAGCTGTGTTTTCTACGCTTGCTTATAATTGAAATTCTATTCTTCAGTACGATTTCCGATTGCTGCATACGTAATCGCTCTGCTTCGAAATGTCGAAAGCATAAGAGAGAAAGCATGGCTAAAAAGAGCGGTCCGGTTATCAATCGACGCGTTATTTAGTAATTCCTATAGATTGCCTATCACCTTCGCAAATTTGTTCCTAGCTAGGATAGACGCTGTTGACGCGCTCGTAGAAGAGCAGGTACGGACTGGCAAGCAGCACCTGCGTCAACGACACGCTCTCGACAATGACGTCGGATGTGTACAGCCATTGATCCGCTTTGTTTCCGCGTCTGAAGCAAACGAAGTGGCCGGAGTCCACCGGGCCGCGGTGCTCGATTACCGCGCACAACCGGTACTTGTGCTTACCCTGTATCGTCATGAAACTATTACCAGGAAACGCCGCGTCACCCTGTAAAGATTTCAGATTAAATTAAGTGAATTGCCTAGCCAATCATACATTTAGACTGATAGTTATAGGATTGTAAATTATTCCTGAAATTTCTCAGGGTTGGGAAGTAACGCGTTATACTTAGAACGCCGTTTTTGTTACTTTCTTCTATTAATAGTAATAGTACTACCGTTACTTTTACCATTATTTTATCACATTACATTTTTATACTCTTGTTTATTTTATAATATATTTTTAATTTACTTTGAAATGAAAATATTTTGTATAATTTATAGTATTCTATATTTTATAGGCTATATTTCAACAATCATTACCAGTATTGAAAATCTATAATTCACATTACATATATGTACCTATATGTTACAGATTTTCAATACTAATAGTAAATTTTGGAATGCACTTTTAATAATAACATTAATGTTTAAGAACAAAAAAATAAACTTAACTTTCTATGAATATAAATAATATAAAGAAAAATTTACTCTATATACAAACTAATTTAGAGAATTTCAAGTTTTTAAATTTATTACATTTAATAATCATTATAGCAAATAATATAATCTAATTGAGCTTATTGTAGTATTAAAAAAAGTAACAAAAAGAAGGAACGAATCATTACTTCGATAAAGCATTACTTTTTAAAATCAATAAGGAGTAACGAGAACCTTTTTACCAAAAATAATGGTGACAGTAACGCATTAGTTTTTTTAGAATAACGTTCCCAACTCTGGAATTCCTTACTTAAGTTTTATTAAATGTTTATTATAAATCACCTGCGCGCTTCTCTTTTTTGTCTCCGTATAAGTGTAGGGATCGAGCACCAGAAATTCCGGGAAAGTGATCTGATCGTCCCTTTTAATTGGCACGCCCGAGGAGCTCCACGTGGTCCTCGGAATGTGTAAGCATAAACACTTGGGCAGTTTGCCGAGGGTAAGTGTTTTGATGGCGGTGCAACGTGACGAGCATCCTTCGCAATGCACGTCGCGCACAATTTCGCTGTCTACAAAACGCGACAACAGCCGCTCCAAAGTGTGATGCTGCGACACGAACGACGAGGTGAACGGCGGTAATGGTAACGATAAAGTCTCCAGCTTATCGTAACGCACTGAAGACTGCAAAAAAAAAAAGAAATAGGATTAAAATTCAGCACTATTAAGGATAGGATTTAACATTAAGAATAAAATTTAAGATTATTAAAACTATAAATTACTTTAACAGAACCAAAAAAAAATACCACTTTTGATAAGCATTTCGATCGATTTAAAAGAAACATGCAAATGATTGACTTAACAATTAATATTTGAAGATAGGATTTGTGCATAAAGGAATTGATAACAAGAAAATTTAGTTCTGTCTCGTTTTCGCGACAATACCTTCCAGAAACAGTTGCTACACTGAACTTGGCTAGTGATAAGACCTGAGAACGGATGCGTCTCCACTGACACCGAAGGAATGTTAATGAATGGCATAGCGCAGAGAGATTTCCATGATCTGAAGAGGCTCGTGCAGTCGCCGTTGCTTTGAATGCTTCGCGATAGCAGTTCTGAGGATCTAGCGAGGATCATACCGGGCTTGCACGTGCTCGGAGACACGCTAGATACGGACAAGGTCGAGGTCATCACTTGATTGTTGCAGTTCTTGTCGAAGCCCTTCGGATTATCGGAATTATTCTCCACTGACGCGATGTCATTGCAAGAGGCGCTTCTGAGATTCAGAGTATCGCCCGTTCCTCTTACGTCTGGTTTGTTAATCGGGCTTGGTGGCAGTGCGTCAGACAAACAACCTTTCTGAAATCACGAATAAATACTTTTCAATCAAGCCATAAAAATCTGGAAGAAAATTTTTTTGCAACGTTTTGTCAAGAATTTTTGTTGCACGCAATAATGCGGAATGTTGCGTACCCTATTAGCAGGTTGTATCTCAGCATCTAACGCGCTGAGAACCACGTGGAATAGCTCGTGAGCATCTTGGTGACCAGGTCCAAAATTCCACAAGGAACCGACGGAAGAGATGATTTCGACGGGTGTCACATTGCCGTACAGATCATCCGCAAAACCATTAATTTCTGTCAGATACATGTACATAAGTCAGTAGAATGTAACAGTACAAAAATAAATACAAAAATAAAAAATTTTTAATTTAATATAAAAAATACTTGAATATCTTGAGGTTATTAAACGACAAAAAAAACAAAATCTAGGAGAAATAAACTTAACATTTAGAGACTATATGTTGCCATTTTTAATCTAGAATTAAAATACTGAACGTCAGATCAAGGCCATACTTTTGAGAACAGAATGCAGCGTTTCGGCAAAATTTCTATCCTTCTTCTCTTGCTGTCTCTGAAGCCAGAAGATGAACCAGGGGCAAGCAGCTAGCGCTTGCAAAAGGGAATTCAAGAAACATGTGTATCCCAAATTGTTAATCCCAACAACTTGACCTAGAAGCAGGCAGTAAAAGTCACAATTAAACATTGGAATTTGGTTCATATTTTTCTTAAGATAAAATAATTAAGAGATAAAAATATATAAAATAATCGAATGTAAAAACAAAAAACACAGTAATTCTGCCTTTAATAATAAACCTGTGACAGGATAATTAAAATGAAATCTCCAAAGGAATTAACTAATTCATTATATAATTACTTTTTATAATTTATATAGTTTACTATTTATAATTATTTATATAATTTATATGAATACAATTTATATTCAGTGTGGTAAAACATTTACATTTTATCGAGATATAACTACAATGACCATATCTTCTTAGAGAGAATAAAAGAACTTGAAAATTTTAAGACTTCGTTTCTACGTGTTTCTAAACCAGTTTACGACTGTTAGTCTGCACATTATAAAATTTTCTTGCGTAATATACCAAAATAAGGTACTGTACAGTTTTGATAGTGAAACTGATAGTTTGAAACTGATTCGACTTTAGTGGAACAAGTCCTTGGTTTAAATCTGAAATAGGTTTGAAATAATAAAAAATGAAAACAGAATCTGAATAATTTTACTAAAAAAAAAATAAAAAAAATAGAATCAACAAAGGACAAAAGGTAAATTACATATATATTTACTTGTTAAAATAAAGGACAAAATTGGGTTTTGAAAAAATAAATAAATCTAAGTACAGCTACCTGAAATAAAGGACTGTCCTTTACAACAAAGAACGCATGATCGCCGTAGAGAGACAACGCGTAACTACATTGCTCTCTCCACACGTTAGTTTCTATTACAAAAATAGAAAGAAAAAACAACGAAGGACAAAAAACGCGTTCGACAAATGTAATCCCCCTCGGGGCCGTCACCTTTTTTCCTGGGCTTGGGCGACGGGCCCCACAGGACGAAGAGGCCGACGGCGATGGCGAAGCCGACGCCGGCGAACATCGCGATCTTCTCCACGTCCATCGCGCAACCGAGTCGGCGTCGACCGCGGTTATTCTTCCTCCAAGAGTCCACCTGCGACGGAACGCTTTAACCTACGTTCCGGCTAATGCAGCTCGCCCTCGACTCTCGTCCGGGCATACTTCCGCGACGACCGAGCCCTCGGCCCTCCGAGGCGCACCCGACGACGACGACGATGAGACTCACGCGGACGACGCGATCGAGTTTTGTCGAGCAATCGCCGGCAAGTATATCCTTTTCTCGGGTCGCAAATCGAGTCAGGTACGCGAGCTCGCGCGGCGACCAGCGGCGACACGAGCGATCCGCGTGAGGTTATGGTCGTACCGCGTCGAGCGCGACGATATAAACAGAACGAAGCATGACAGGACAAAACGAATCGAGATTCGAGAGACAAACCGGCGAGAACGTGTTCCGGCTTTTTCTCTCTTTTTTTCTCTTCTTTGCAAAATAAGCATACAGTGCGGCGGGTAGGAGAGGGAGGGGGAGGAGGTGGGAGCGAGGGCTCAAGCCAAAGGCCAAAGGGCGCGCAGTTGCAAGCTGAAAAGGCAGCATAAAAAAATTCGCGCGGGCGCATCATTTCGAATCTTCGGTTCCAAGACGGGGAATCGGCAATGTAAGTATGCTCAATATGCTCGGCGAGTAAACATACATTGTGTAACGGGTTTATCATATGATTTGGGAATTTAAAAAAATTCAAGCGAACTGCGCGGCACTCGCGCTTCAGACGAGGTGCCGTCAACTGGCGGCCTCTACACGAACAAAATATGCATTTTTGAACTACGTAGCCGCGAATATTTCTGGCAGGTATTATTTACTATTTAGTATTATATTATTGTATAGCCCCCCCAGTTTTCAATCTCGGACTGTGTTATATGTATTTGTGTGTTCACAAAAGGTAATTGGCTAATAATATTTTACAAAAATAATGATTAAAAATTGATATTTAATGATGTAAAGAATAAATGGAATCACCAAGGAATTATCGACTTATGTATATACATCGAAATTCGACTTTTTTAAGTTTTTTTTTCAAAAATTTAAAGTATATGGAAAAGTACATGATTAACTTTTAAATTAATTTATTTATATTACCTGATAATAACTTCAATAATAAAAATTTTATCATTGACGAGATACTGTTATTCTTACGGGAGTTAGCGTGGCTGTTTAGCAATTGCTAAAATTTAAGCAATTAGTCAATAATGTAATATTAATTTTATGATTTATTATTATAGACTAATGTTCTTTATTTTCTTTAGACATGTACACTGTATTTCATCTGTGTTACATCTTGCTAATAGTAAATTTTATTTAAAATTGTATTTTTATAGTTATCATCCGTGTTTGATTATCCAGAAAGATATAAATGTAACAGTAGAAAAGAATTGTAACTTTGGGGCAATTTATATGATATTATAGCATTATAAGTATTTGTTATTACTACTTATTTATAAAGCATTTATGTAATAATAAAAATCATAATTTTAATAATGACTTATTAGTCAAATATTTATGTTAATAATTGCAAATTTATGGCAATAATCGATAACATCGACACTTTACAATTACCTCCGGGTCGTCCAGGCCCTTTGGCCGGCACGAAAATTTATCCAAGGTTGACGGTTTTTAATAACAGTATCTCGTCGCTATATGTATGTACAAAAGATAATTGTCTAATAATATTTTACAAAAATAATAATTAAAAATTAATATTTAATTTGTGTAAAAAATAAATGAAATCACCAAGAGATATATATATATCGAAATATATATATCGAAATATATATACATATATATATATATCGAGGTATATATATATTGAAATTCGACTTTGCGCTAATCTTTTATATATATAGCTTTTTCCAAAAATTCAAAGTATATAATAAACATGATTAACTTTTAAATTAATTTATTTATATTACTTGACAATAAATAACTTCCATGATAAAAATTTTATATTTTAAATATTTAATATTTCTTAAAAAACAAAGGACTTGCGAATAATGTATCGCTAAAAAAAACTTTCTCATTACTTTTATACACTGTTAAATCTATAGTGTTAAACTGAACCTTATTTAAGTCGCCA